CAATCCCCCAGCACCACATGCCAGCCAGCCCCGCCCCCTGGTGGGCTGAGCTGGCCACACACACACACACACACACACACACACACGCACACACGTAAATAAAAAAAAAAAAAAAAAAAAAAATTTAACTGCTACAGCCAGTGTCAATAGCAATCAGAATCAAGCCCAAGCTGTTACAGGGCTTCCTTAGAGTGAGAGTTCAGTTTAGTAGGATATATGAGGAACAGGCCTTTGCCAAATTATACAACCCACTCCTCCCCACCCCCCATCTCTCCTCTTGGAGAGGAGCTTCAAAATGGGGCTGGCAGGATAGCTCAGTTGTCTAAAGTGCCTGCTTGGGCAAACTTAGGTGCAGGAGACCGTGGTTCGAACCTAAGTACCATGTGCCTCACCAGACCCGCCCTTTAAGGTGGGCCTCCCCAGCCCAAAAAAAAAATTATATCTGAATGTCTAGGTTATCTCATTTGGATGAGTTGCTCTCTTCCTCTGTTCTTAGGGAAGACTTTTTTTTTTTTTTTTTTTTTTTTTAGTACAGGGTCTCACCATGTAGATCAGACTTGTAGTGATTATCCTGTTTTCAGCCTTTCAAGCACTGGGATTACAGGTGCGTACCACCACACCCAGTCTCATCACTGTCTCAGTGTGTCCTGGGCTCAGGCCCTGGATCAAACCCAGCCACTGCACTCTGCCTAAGCAGGTACTTTAGTCCGCTGAGCTATCTGGCCAGCCCAGGGAAGACTTCTTTAATGGATACTATCATTCACTGAACATATTAGGTATGGGTCTCAGATTTGGTTTAGACTTTTTTTTTTTTAAATGTATTTATTACACTATGCAGCTCAGACTCATAGTGATCGTCCTGTTTTCAGCCTTCCAGTGCTGGGATTACAGGTGTGCAGCACTGCGCCTGGTCTCTGGCCAGCTCAGCACACTCGGGTGGGGCTGGCATGGCATGTGGTGCTGGAGATTGAACCCCAGTCCCTGTGCTTGCCTAAGCAGGTTTTTAGTCCACTAAGCTATCTTGCCAGCCCTTACATTTTCTGTATGATCCTAGAATACAGTCCTCACCCCCAAATGCCTCTATTTCTATTGCTATACAGTTGCTCTGACTTTTTAGTATTTTTATTTAAGTCTTCAACATGAGTTCCAGTCATTCTGTCCTTTGTGTTCTGAAATGATTTGTCATCTTAGAAGGAATCTGTATAACTAGGTTCAGCTGTCCCCCATCATCTGTAGCTCTAGGGGCCTAAAATTGAAATAAGGACCAAATAGAAACCCTTTCAAGTCCCTTCCTTTAGCCAAGCATGGTGTCACAGGCTTGTAATCCCAGTACTTGGCAGGCTGAGGCTGGAGGATCATTGCAAGTTCAAGACCAGCCTGGACTACAAAGTGAGCTCAAAGCCAGCCTGAGCTGCATAGTGAGATCCTGTCTCAAAAAGATGGGGGTGGGGGGAGTCCATTCCTTTGCATTTGTCTTCTGGTTGCTTCTGCCTGTTTTCACTCCAGATTTTCTTTAGCCACCTCCCCCCCCACTAACATGCAGACCATGGGCACAGTTTTGCAGCCAATCTACTTGCCCAGAAAGGTGGCTTTTTTCCCCCTAGTCAGAACCTGAATAGGCTCCTGCAAAAAGGGAGAAAACTGTTTTCTGACAAATGGTAAAACACACTATTATGGTATTTGTAGGAAAACAACTGAGAATTACAGGGTCAGAAGGCACAAAACAAGCAGATGCCCTCTAGGGGGCGTATGGCCCCTGACATATATTTCTCTCTCTTTCCCCCCATCATTTATAACAGGTGAGTAATATTAGTTAGGCATGATGGCATATGCCTGTAATTCCAGCCCTCAGGAGGCTGAGACAGGAGAATTGCTGAACTTGAGGCCTTCTTGGGCTACATAGTGAGGTAAAGGCCAGCCTGAACTGCATAGCAAGACCCTGTCTCAGGCCAACCAGGTAGTTCAGCAGATTAAAATGCTTAGGCAGATGCAGAGACTGGGGTTTGATCCCTGGTGTGCCATGGTGGCCCCATGAACAGTGACTAAGACTGGATGTGATGGTGCCCACCTTAATCCCAGGGCTTGGGAGGCTGAAAACAGGAGGATCACTAAAATCCAATCTGTGTAGTGAGACCCTGTTGGCCCTGTACTAAATACATTTGAAAAAATTCTAAAAGACCTTGTCTTGGGGCCGGGGAGATGGCTCAGTGGAATAAGCACTTCCCTGGCAAGTGTAAGGACCTGAGTTCAATCCCCGGTTCCACCAAAAAAAAAAAAAAAAAAAAAAAAAAAAGACCTTGTCTCAAGCCAAAAAGAAAAAAATTTAAATTAGTATTTCACTGACATCTGAACTATCTGAAAATTGCCAGTGGCAGTGTCCATATCATAGTAACCTTAACTTTTTCTATATAAATATGTAGTTTTTAAAATTGATATAAAACCCAACATTGCTCTTTTATAACTTGCTTTCTTAAAGAAAATAGGGCGAGAACCTCTTCCCATGCTGGTAGCTGTCCATCCGTGTGCACTATCATTACTAGAATTGCATTGCATCTGGCACTGTGATTTAGTTAACCCACTACTCGGCTGTCCTCCGTTTCTTGCAGTCATAGAATGTGCCACAGTGTTTAAATGTGCATCCCCATTCTTCTTTCCTTGGAGCACATGATGTGAAGTGGACTTGGCTTGGCTGTGAGCAAGGCTTTATTGTGTTGACCCCCCGCTGCCCAAAAACAGCCTTGCTTGTTTCCATCGTGTAGCACAAGAAGGAGCACTCCTGTCTCTGAACCTTTATGAGTGATAGCTACTCAGGGTCATGAAAAAATACTCTGCTGCTTTAAAAAACAGTATCCCATTTTTATTTCCATTTATTTAATCGCTAATTAAAATTTTATCTACTTAGTAGTCATTTATGTTTCCTTTTTTGAGAATTGGTCAAACATTGTTGTCCCAAGTAACCAAAATACTGTTACCACTCCACCTTTTCAGTTTGATTTGAAAGAAATAAAGACAATGAAACTGGAAATTAGAGTCCTGTATGCCGTAGAAAAGATTATATAAGTTAAAAAGCAGAGGCAAGCTGAATCCGAATCCTGGGGTTTAGCTTGAGGTCCACCAACTGACTGACGACCGAGTATCTGCTGTGAGATGGGACCGTCATCTCTTCATCCCTGCCACACGCAACAGGTTTGCAGCAAATACTCATGAGCTGCTCTCTGCCATAGCTCGGCGGTCAGGCTCCTGCTTAGCATGCATGAGGCTGGCTTCCATCCCTGGTACTAAAAACCTGCTCTTCCTGTTGGGGAAAGAAGTTGATTTTGCCATGTTGTTTCAACAAATTAAGTTTTAAAAATATAGAAGCCAGAGGCTGAAGCAGGAGGATTGCTGTGAGTTCAAGGCCAGCCTAAACTATATATCATCTAAGATGTACTGGCATTTTACATACTGTTACCATGTCACATTTGAGGATACTCAACTAACATGACACCTGAGGAGGAGGAGAACGAGGACTGCAGGTGATGGCAGACAGGCAGTATGGACCAGCCCTTCTAGTGAGGGCACCTAGATAGGCTGGAAACCTATTGTGTAAGCATGGTAATCCCAGCACTCAGGCTCAGCCAGGAGCTCGCCAGGAGCTTGAGGGCAGCTTGGGCTACATAGTAAGTTAAAGGCCAGCCTCAACTACATAAATAAGACCCGTCTCAAAAAGAAAAAAAAAATCTGCTCAACCTTTCCAGGGACAGTGTTTAGAGGCATTCAGAGTGGCCCAGCATTTGACACTGGCACAGCTTTATAGTTCTGTCATTAACAAAACTAGGCTGTTCCAAACCCCTGGTGATAGAACTATGCATTTTTTATACCAAGAAGGGCGGGAAAGCACCAAAGTCCCCATGTGATGTGTGATGTGTGCACTGACAGACTGAGCAGTGAGAACTACTGTTCTTGTGAGATGTTCTAAACTGAAGAAAACATCAGCAAGGCCGAGGTTCCACCTGCACTGAATGTGTCTATGACACGATCAAGTGTTTGCCTAGCCCATGGCAGAAAACTGTAAAGTGCTAATGGCACCAACACGAAGTCCAAAGGAAAAGAAAGAATGGGGCATGGTGGTGTGTGCCTGTAACCCCGGGACTCAGGAACATGAGGCAGGAGTATCACCAGTAATTTGAGATCAGCCTGAACAACATAGTGAGACCCTGTCTCAAAATTTTTAATGAAGCTCTTTTGAGAAATTTTTTTAAAATCAAAAGGCAAAAAGAAATCTATTAAAAGACATCAGAACTAATGTGATGTGTGTGTGTGTGTGTGTGTGTGTGGCTGGCTCAGCCTGCTCTGGGGACAGGGCTGGCATGGCATTTGACCGCTGAGCTATCTCACTTGCTCCACTAATGTGATTTTTTTTTTTTTTTTTTTGCGGAACCAGGGATTGAACTCAGGCCCTTGCGCTTGCCAGGGAAGCGCTTATTCCACTGAGCCATCTCCCCGGCCCCCACTAATGTGATTTTGAAAGGTTTTTGTCACTGGACTTGTAAGGAGATAGAGGCTTAATGTTAGGGCTCAGTGTTAAGGTATGCTTTTCTCTGGAGCGTGTTGGCAGTCTTTGAGGATGTTTAGAGGGTAATCAGTGAAGAGGGTGGGTACAGAGGATTGGACCCAAGGCCTCACACATATTGAGCAAGTGCTCTGCCACTGAGCTACACCACCAGCACCAAGATCAGAAGTAGGGGACAGAGTCTCAGTGCAAGATCCAATGATGTCCCACACTTGGGT